GAGTTAAAGTGATTCAGTATTATAACATCTATAAAAGCTTGTTTTAATTTCATAAACACCTGTATAGTGTCTTGAGTGAGAATAAACAGTCTTATTTTTCTATCTTTTACACTTCTCTTTAACAGATCTGTAAGAAGAGTAGTAATCTATAAATATATATAGATGAATTATCTGTAGAAATTCATAAATTCTAGAAATATCTGTATCTTACAGTATATTCACAGTACTGACCAGTTCTCAATGATAGAGATCTGACTTCTATTCATTGAAATGTTATTCATCTTAATAATATAATCTAAGAAATCAATCTTCTACATGTAGAACAAGCATTTTTCAGTATTTATATAAAGTTAATACTGTCTCAAGTGACTTAACACTTCTTAAACATGAGTATCATATTCTTTCTCTAATTTTAAGAAGATTAGAATGTTGTTCAGATATACTATATAGAAGATGTTAACAAGACTCTGCAGTGTCTTATTTATATAGATCTGAAAGATGACTGAAGTGTTATAAAGATTAAAAGATAAAACAAGATATTTAAAATTACTATACTTAGTATAAAAAGCTGTTTTTTAAATGTTGTCTTTGTTAACTCTGATTCTATGATAGATATCTTATATATCAATCTTTGAGAACATCTTTACTTCAGATAATCAATCAATCATCTCATTAATTAACAGTAATAAATAGTGATTCTTAATCATCATCTTATTAAGATTTCTGTAGTCTATGTATAGATATAGTCTATCATTCTTCTTGAGTACAAAGAGTATAGATGTCTCTGCTGAACTCTTTGATAAGTATATTCAGTTCTTTGATTATACTTTTTTAAGATATTTATACAGAATATTCAATTTCTTTACAGATAAGTTGTAAAGAGATCTATACAGTGTTATTACACTGTCTTCAAGACAAATCTTATATTATATCTTGATATCAGAAAACTTCACTGCTTTTCTTTTTAAAAAGATATTCTTATAATCTATAAAGAGATGTTGTATATATTCATCTTTAATGATAAATACTACTGCTAATCTTACAGTGAGAATGATAACTTCTTTATCTATCTTTAAGTCTTAATCATCTGCTACATAGTATATCAACTCTATCTTTTTCTTAAGATTCTTCTGATGAAACTCTTCAGATTTCTCTATTACTATCTCTTTATTAGTGAGACAGTACTGTCACATCTAAGTAACTCAGTTAATAAGAGAATTGTTTTCTCTTAATTATAGAAGATCTAGAATAAGGTTCTTATCTATGATATTAACTGTGTGAAGAAGCAGACTGCTCTTCTTAAAGATTTCTTCTAAGTCTGTAGTTATATACTTCACTTAAATTATGCTAAAACAGTAATATTTTATTTTATCAGTAAATTTCATATAATCTGACAGATCTATCTTCTTTTAATTCTTTATTAAAGAAAAGAAATAGAATATGAAGTTAGTATCTACTCTGAAGTTAAGTAGATATCTCACTGATATCTTCTTATTCAGAGTATGTATTATAATTGTAATATAAACTTAAAGATATGAGAATTATTAATTCTTCATTTCTTTCTCTTCTTTATCTTTCACAGATATATTTGTTAGAAGAGAAGTTAACTTTAAGAAGATATCTTCTCAGTTTCTTCTCTTCTTCAGCTTCTTATAATTACTGATATAGTAATTACTAACTCTGCAGTTGAAACAGAGATCTTTATCAAATCTTTTTTAATATTTCTTCACAGTAAGTGAAGAATTAGAATACTTAAAATTCTTCTTTACTTTTTCTACACTGAAGTCATCACAGCACTGTTTAAATCTTATTATTAATTACTTAGAAGAAGTCTTATTAATCTTTTTCTCAGAGAATTGATTATTTAAATAGATTCAGAAAGTCAGATTGATAAGCTTAGTATAATTAATTAATAAACTCTGATACTGTAATATTATTATTTATATCTTATAAGTCATCTTTATAAGATAAAGCTGTATTTTTAATTAATTTAAATTATCAGTCAATTTCTCTCAATATTCTTCAAATCTTATATTAAAATCAGAAGAATTCTCATTATTTTATTAATATAATAAGTTGAATTACTACACTACTGTGAAGCTGTAGTTACAGTAATCTTTAATTTAATTCAGTAAAAAGTTCTTGAATTCTTTCTAAGTTATAATAGTATTAATACACTCAAGCTCTTTCTTCTTAATAACTCAAGTAATTACAGAGATGTCTTCAAGAAGGTTGACAGTATATATTACTCATATTTTATAAGTATTATACTGGCTCAGATTAAGGTGAAATTTCTGTTCAAGAGTATGAGTAAAGCTGTGAAATTCAGATAAGATGTTTCTCTTGTATCTCAGAGAATCTCTGATCTTAATCTCTCTATCTTTATAATAGATGTAGGTGTGTAGAGATCACAGTGATAATAGAGCAGTTAAAGAGCTTATATTAAAATATACAGTGAGTTCAGAAATCTCAGATTTCTGCTGAGATAGAGATGTACATACTCTAGGAAATAATGTAGTATTTTCTTCAGAGAGTGAGATCAGATCAGTCTCAGTATAGATGTATAAAATTATATCAGTCTGTTAGAGCTTGACTGATTCAAACTTATAATCAGATTAAGTGATTTAAATTGTAATATGATAAAACTGAAGTAGTGACTAGTTAATAATAATATATAGAGATAGTTATTTAAGAAGCTGTATAAGTAAGCTTGACTATCTTGCTTAAATAGTGAGCTTGTAGACTACAGAGTTATTATGAGAATATCACAGATATAGTACTTAGTATACTAAGAAGATTATATAAGACACACAGTAACTCTTGTATATATTTCAGTAAAAGAAAAATAAATCACTGACTTCTTTAATAAGAAGTCAGTATTTAGCTATTCTATATAGACAATGAGTGAATACTCTTCTCTTATTTCATGAGTGAGAATAGCTGAAGTAATACCTCAGTGACATCTCATTGCTAAGAAAGAGTAATCTGCTGACCTTGTATAGAAGTGAGGTTCTTATATTTATCAATCAGATCTTCCTATGATATATCTGAATGATGTCATAGAGTGTTCAGACGGCCTGCGGGATGAATGAAACCATCCGCATGAAAGCGATGAGCCGTGTGGAACCGCAACGGGGCCTTGGCGCGGCCGGGGGCGTGACAGAGATTATGAGATGAATATCTCAGTCAGGTACTATTAGTCACATGAATTCAGCAGTATACAGTCTTCAAGCATTCATCATTCTACCTGTTATATGAATTGCATCCGCGTAGACTGATCATGTGACCGTGTCTGGAACCAGGACCAAACTTTACAGTTGTCATGTTGTCTAAAAGCATTACTCCTGGTCATGATTTGTGTTCATTACATTGATTTCAAATCACATTATTTCAAATATTAAAGGTCTCAGATTCACTTTTCAAATAAAAATCTAGTCTCAGATAAAGAATATGTTTGAATTCTTAGTCACATTTTCATTCTGATCTCATTATTAAGAATGGCATTAAATGAGACTATGAAATCACTTCTCACTTACATAATATCATAACATAGTGCTCATTTGTTGAAAATTCAATAGAGAGTGTTATCAAATATCATTACTTTTCTGAACACAGATCATAATTCATATAATTTTAATTATGAAAAAAACATAAAATACAAAAAAAAATAAAAAACAAAAAACAAAACAAATACAAGAAAAAATCACATTAAAAAAAAAAAAAAAAGAAAAGAAAAAGAAAAAAACAAAAAATAAAAACAAAAAAAATCAAGGTCACAGAGCTGCAGTACTCTCAAAATACTCATTTCTCAGAGTCTTTATAATGTTCATTATCAATCATGTATCTCTCATAGTAAGAGTAACATAGTCATGATAAGTCATTGTCTTAACATTATCTAATAAATAATCAGTATATATCTGTATAAATGTGAATAATTAGAAAACATACACTTAAAAAGTATGATCAGAATGAACTCTGCTGTCATTTGAATGACATTAAGAGCAGAATGATGGAATTAATGATTTCTCTCATTAATTTCACAGACAAGATGTGTGAAGATGATCTTGAGAAATATAAGATTTCTCAACTTCTGATAAAAATGAATCTCACAGAGAGACTCTATTTTCATGATATCAGAGACTGAGTATTATCAAAAAGCATTACTTTTATATAATGTATATACACTTACTGCAGTAATTCACTCTCTACATATATAGCTGAGAGTTGCAGCTTTCTCACACTGCACAGCTCTTTCTGAAATGCTGCTGTCAGTTTGCAATTCATGCAGTCTCTCAGTTCAGCATGCACTGTGCATATGCAGCTCTGCATACTGAGGCTGTATTAATTATTATGATCTGGTGTGGTACTTGCTTTTCATGAGCCATGTTTCATTTGAGAGAGGAAGAGAAAGATATGACTGTTGTTTTATTAAGAAGAGAATGAATAATTAGTATTATTGAATTAATTTGATTCATCTGCATTTAAAATTTGATTAGTTTATACTCTTCAATTTGAGAGTTTCTATGAGTGTTTTAATAGTTTTCATATCAGCTTGAACTTAGTGATGAGTTGAAGAAGAAGAGAAAAGAGAGAAGAAAGAAATGAGAATAACTTATCTTTATAATATAAAAACAGAGAATCACTGTAATTATTCTCTCTAGTAACAAAGATCTGTTTTCTGCATGTATCTTTGATAATAGATTATATAATAAATGCATATAAAGAATATCAATAGTGTATGCATTGAATAAAGATAATATTGCTATACAATACTGTAGTCATTTCTGTACATCTCTGAAAGCTGTTAATAGTTTCTTTGTCTCTTTATATTTAATAAGTCAATAATATATTTCAATGCACTCTCTCTTTCATTATCATTATCATCATCATTATTATCATTATTATCATCATCATTATCACTATCATCATCATTATTATTATTATCATCATTATATCATTGCCTGTCTTCACTCTCTCTTCAATACTTATTAAAATCAATCATGTTATCTCTCTTTAAATATTCTGCGGTTCTGCAGATCATCAAGGCGCGTGAGTACTGTCACAGATTGAAGAGAGAGAAGAAGAAGATGTTCAAGCATGAGAAGACAGATTATAAGACATATTATAATGTCTTGAAGAGACTCTGTAAGAGAGCAGAATGATAACAATTTTAAGTAACACTTCTGATAGATTTAGACTGAATTAAGTATAGAAATAATGTAAATAACACTGCCTGTGAGAGATTAAAAAAGAAGACAGTGAAGAGTCTCATGCAGTAGTAGTGAGATCAGAAGAAGTTCTGAGAATGATTTAAGACTAAGATGAAGAGAGAGAGAGAGAAGAAGAGTGTTACTGTAAATAAGCAGCAGCAGAAGAAGATTAAGAAGATATTAAAGTGAGAGACAAAGAAGTCAAAACTGGTAAGTTTTTTATTAAGAGATAACAATTTTTAGTAACACTTCTGTTCTCTAATTGATTAGCAGGAGCTGGCAGAGAAGAAGAGGATTGAGGTCTTATTCAGGTCTTGAATGCACTTCATAATTCAGAATATTGAGAAGACAGCCCTGCTCTCTGAGCATGCCAATCTGCTTATCACTGGGGTGAAACCTGAGGCAGCAGACCAGGAAATGCAGGATTTTGAGACACAGATTGACCTGGCTGAGAGGAAGCAGCAGGAACCCTTCTCTGAGAAGGCAGCAGAGAGAGATTTTGAGATGATTATTACCTCAGATAAGAAGGAGAAGAAGAAGAAGAAGAAGAAGAAGAAGAAGAATGAGAAGTGAATTATAAAGAATGATAAGAAGAATGAGAAAAAGAAGAAGTAGATTTTTTTCTTTTTATATTAGTTAGTTATAAGTTTAAGTTTTTAATTATTAATAATTAAAATTGATTTTGAGTTTTCAAAAATTATTGTACAAGTTGTAATCAAGTCAGGAATGATATATATATATATATATATTTAACTATCATGATTCACAAATCACTATAATATATAAGTATCAACATTTTTTCAACATTGATATTCATAATATTAATATATTTTTAATAATATTATCTGATAATATAATTTGATAACACTCTCTTTTACAATATTAATATATTTCAAGAAATATGACAGAGATTAATCAAGATTGTTTATTTACTTTTATACATCAATGATATTCAATCTGAGTTAGTACTAAAATTATAACTAAGCTAAGAAACAAGATTATTTTCTCTTATATTAATTCTTCTTACACACATCAGTGATCAGTTATTAAAAATAAATTATCATCTTTCTTAAATTATTATTATATCTTCTGAATTCACTTCTTTCACTTCTTTTACTTCTATTGAAGATTCATAAACTCTTCAAGAAATCACTGTGAATTACAAAGTCTATATTGTTTATAATTCAACACAGAATACTCTCTTTCAATTATAATGAATAATCACTTCATTCTTCACATCTGATTTCAGGTCATGAAATTTATGAAAAACTCAACACAAATATTGAGATGAACTATAAAATAATTATCAACAGATTGTATTATAGATTACTGAAGAGTCATCTCTTTACTGTAATCACTGTAACTTTATTCAGAAACATTCATCATGAACTGATTATAATTCTGAAGAAATTTCCTGATATCTGAAGTCATCAGAATACAGACAATAAAAGAAAAATAATCAGAAAATTACTACTAAGCTGATAAGTTACTCTATCAGATAACAATTTTTGATAACACTAACTTTCTAATTTAAAGAAAATCATGTAAAAACAACTCTGTATCAGTACTCTGATTTCATAACTCTTATCTGATAACTTCTGTGAATAATTACTTCACATGTGTATATCTCTGAATCTTTCTCTTTGATCAATTGAAAACCCCGAATTTCAAACACTTCTTTAAATGCTTAATTCAAATCTTCATATTTCATATCAATTCTGTCTTCAGTTCAATCTTGAGATACACTACAAAGTCAATATACAATATCTAGAATCAGAGTTGAAGAATCATTGAAGAGTGTCTCTCACAGTGAATGTATAAACTAGTACAAATAATCTTACATTTATGAGAGTTACATGTTATTACATTGATGAGAACTGAACTTATCAAGAGATATTAATTGAATTTAAATCATTGATCAGTAGTCATACTGAGAATTATATAGCAGAGATATTAATGACTGTGATTAAAAATGACTATTGAGATATTAGTCTCAGTCTTCTTACAATTACAACTGATAATGCTGTGAATAACTACACTATGATGAAGAGCTTGAAGCAAAAATTGGCTTTGCATTTCTGAAATGATAAACAAGGTCATATTCTCTGCATTGCTCATGTGATTTAACTTGTGATACAAACACTGATAAAGAATCTTAACATCAAGATGAAGAATAATGAGATGACTGATTCTTGAGATGAGAATGAGATAAAAGTGATTACTCAAGTAACTTTTACATTCACTTTATAAAAGATAATGTTTTTTGACAACACTTTTTGATATTACTTTTTAATAATGCTTTTTAATAATGCTACTGTTAATTTTGAATAGATTGACTAATAATTTAAATATCATAGATTCAAAACATTGCTAATGCAATTTGTATCTCTTCTAAACAATAATAACAATTTCATGATATTCAATAAATAAACAAATCAGTCACATCACTGAATATAATACAGAATATTAGAACACAGTGAAGTTCAATATATGAGATGACTGTTCAGACTCTTCAATTGTATCAGATGATTGATCATTGAGTGCAACACTCTGATCAGGAAAAGATTCAGATATTGAAACTTTCAGATATAAAGTGAACTCAGTTGAAATATGTGATTGATTTACTGTTTCAGTTTTATAAGATAATAAAGACAGTCTTAATTACTCATACATCAATGCTGCAGTCAGTCTGATAAGTGTATAACAGTTTATTTACTTATCTTGAGAAGCAGTTGAATCACTTAAAAAGAAATTCAGTCTGAGATAATGCTATAGCACAGGCTATTGTTACTGCAAGGAATAAACTGGCATATTATTACAGCAAAATGAAACAATCTTTTGCAGAGTACTATGCTGTAGCAGCTCTACTAGATTCCTTCTATCAAGTTAATATCTACACTTCTCAAGATTGAACAGAGGAGGAACAAGACTTATATATTAAATTAGCCTGAGACTACTACAATATCAACTATCAGAGATTTGAATGAGCAGATATTTGAGATGTGAAGACAGTGAAATACAATTCTCTAGTAAGTAACAATCTTTGATAACACTTTATATCACATAGAACTATAATACTAACTTTGAAACAGAACTTATATACATTGATTACAACTGAAAATCAGGCAAAACTACATACTTATAAAACTGAATTTGATCACTATCTTCAAGATGATCTGATAAATTTACATGCCAAATCAATTCTAGAGTTATGAAAAATTGTTAAGAGTACATATTCAACTGTTGCACTGATGATGTGTGATATTCTAATAATTTCATTGACAGGGATGAGAATGAAGTGAAAGTTCAACTCAAGTTGAGATATTTATCACTATTATTAGAGACAATTATAAGAAGAAACAATCAAGAAACTCATGATTGTAAAACATGAAATTATCAGACAGTTTAATACCTCTGATCACAGTATATCAGAGAAGTGTAGTTTTCATGAGAAAGTGAAGAATAAACTTGTACAAGAATGTATTTAGTTGTTTCATGAGCATTATCAATAATCATTATCAAATTCTGATTATATAAGCAATCACTAAATGAACTGAATGAGACTGATTTTGATCTTCAGTCTCAGTCTCATTCTGATTTTGAAAGAATGATCATCTTTCACAGTTTATCCTGAAAAATTACTCTCATTTCACTGTTCTTGAATTAAATCTGGTCATTTTTCACGCCATTTCTCTCAGAAATGATTCATTTTCAGATTTTTTTAAGGCTTGGTCCTGGTGGGACTCACGCCAAGAAATGTATAAGACCAGACCAAATGGGATTAAATGTGAAATTCATGGTCCCGCCGGCCAGTCTACATCCGCGCATCTCAGAGAATGCTTTGAAAAAGATGAGCGAGAAAACAACAGTTGCAGATGCAACAGTCACAGATGCAGCAGTCACAGATGTAGAATTAAGATTGAAAGAGATCAGTTATACACATGCAAAAGCTAACAAGTTACTTCTGAATTAAGCAATTCAATTGAAAAGAATATGAGACTCACTAGTTAAGAAATCAAGTCTTAAGATGAGAATATGAGTTCTTATATATAATGAGAATTCTGAGAAGGTTCAATCTAGATGATTTGAGTTATATAAAATACTCAAATCACATTCTCTGAGAATATACATATTGAAAGAATCAGAGAGACAGATCTTACACAACTTAATAAATAATTCACATCTTATAAAGATAAAGATATAAGATCTGAGTAGATTATAATCATCTACAGCACTATTATCAGTGTTGAAAAAGAAAAGACTTATAATTGAAAAGTCTTATGAAGTAAGAGAAATCATAGATACTTATAAATCAGATAATCTCACTTATTTCAATCTTTTTACAATTATAAGAAAAGAATGAGAAGTAATAAAGAAATCAGATAAATATCACACTTTAATAAGTGATGAGACTGTAGCTAGTTATATGATAACATATCACATACAGTAGATATAATATGATAAAGAGCAGTCTCAGAGCAGCAGACTTACACATGAGTCAGATTATAGAAGAAAAAGAAATTCAGAGTTGAATTTAACTGTTTACATCAGTTTAATTGTAAAGATAACAGAGAATAAAGTATCTGAAATATTCATGAATATATAAGATCAAGCTATCTCAATCTCTGAAGATACTCAGAGATTGAGTGAGATTAGTTTCAATAAGCTGTTCACTGTAGTAGTCTGAGCAGGTGAAGAGAGACACTATAATACATAAGACAGAATTATAAGAGATGAAAGCTGCTGAACCTAGTCACTGAACACTGTATTATATAGAGATTGTGTAAGAGTAGTAACTAGCAGATAAAGAAAAAGTGTAAGAAAAGAAAAGAGATAATGAATTGATTATCAACTGTAAAAATCAGCTATAAAAGATAAATATTATTATACATATCTTATTCATTTTCATATATCACATATTTAATCTGTTTTCAATGCCACATCATCTGAAAAACATTAAAAACAAGAAAATCTCAAAACTCAAGATTTATAAGAGATTTAAGAGCTGTAAGTCACTCTTATAATAACACTGCACATGTCTCTGATTTCTCTATCACTTTGTATACAACATTAATATTATTTATCACAAGATTGACTGAAATGTCAATATAGAAATGTGTATATATATATATAGAAAAATTGAAGAAGAGTGTGAAATCTGCAGAATCAGAAGTCAGAGCAGAGAGAGTGAAGATGAAAGAAATGAAAGAAAAAGAAAGTACAGAATTAAATAAATAACAGCAAGAGTCACTCAGAGCTGAATACTTATGATTCAGTGTATGCACAATCTTTCTCACAGAAAAGAGAGAGAGAATAATAAAAGAAGCTTAAGAGTAGAAGAGAATAATGTTGATAATATTATTATCTTTGATTAGAATGATCTCTGACACTGAAGTAACTAAGAATCATTATTAGTGTACAAAAACTGTAAAATCAGAGATGAGAATAATTACTGAATAAATACTCACTGATCTTAGAATTGTACATATAATTATAACATGTATGAGGCTTCTCAGAAAGAGAGAGAGAGATACAGAGAAATACAGAAAGCAGAACATAGTATATAAACAGCT